GTTACCAAGGTATATAAAGTATCAATTCCGACAATTCAAGTTCTCGCAAGACCTTGGTTTTCTAGACCGCCTCCCCGCATTGGCTCGATAGCACACTGGGCAAAATGCAGTATTATTTGTCAAAGTATGCAACGCAACGACTTGACAGAAAAATATCTCGCTGCACAGTTTGATAGGCAATGATGCATATTTAAGTTTCATTGAAACAAGGTAAGCCGGGTAGTAAGTTAATTTTAATGTAGTTTTATGTTAAGCAAAACAGCAATAATTTGCCACGAACATATTCGACATGAAATTCTGTGAATAATATAGAAAATCGCGCTCAATAATGCACCTTTATCGCGAACACTAAGAGTTATTCTAAATTAGCTAGATCGAATTGCGTCAATAATTTTTGAATGCAATTTTTGAAATTTGATGCGCTTTATCTATTCAAGGGCAAAACAACATTATATCAATGTCGGATATTGACGTCGAATGAAGGTCTGGTATATGACGTCAAACCGATGTCGAAATTAGGTTGATAGACACATCGACATCGCGGCCATATTTCAACTATATTTTGAAACGATGTCGTGTGCTGCCTGGGATAGTAACTAAAGATGGATAATCAATGAACCACAAAGCAAACGATGGAAAATGGTAACTAAAACTTAAGTCTAACCCCACTTGTTTGCCCCATCATCCTTTTGCCTATATATTTTTATAGCATCACAGTTTATAAATAGTTTTTATCACACAAAAATTTCATCCATTAGATACCTAAACTAGAAATACATGCATGCAGCAACCCCTCGCTATTTCGAACCAAGTACACAACTTCCTGAGTTAACCTGACCTAAACTTATATTATGAAATGACACAAAACTCAAATCAGTCTTATTTATATTTTACAGAGTATATTATAGCTAATGTTTCATTCATTCAATACAAAAATAATCATAAAGCTAGTGTAAACATTTCCCATTCAATTTTGCTGCATTATACCATGCCAGCAATTAAGTGACGGTTAAAATCGAAGTTTCAAACGATTAAAACAGTACAAAATCTTCACAGACAAAGAAAAAAACTTCAAATGTTATTTTCTTTTGTAATTGCAGTCGACGCCGGCGGCTAAAAGTTTTATACTTTATAAATATAGTGTGTATTTTTGATATCAAAATTCAAATTACACTTTCAAAAACACTTTTAGAAGTTAAAGCAAAGCTTTAATAGCCTTTCACAGGTTTATGTGTTTGCATAAAAAGCTGAAAATTTAACAAATAAACGGCATACAAAGCTGAAAAGTATACAAATACAGCTCATCCTTACCGCGAAGCAAATACGAAATAAACAAAGTAAACATACCCTTTGCCTTTGAAAACATTTATAAGCTTGTAGATTATGAATCATTCCTCATACACGGCTTTGTCTTGACTGTATCCACGTTCATCTTTGCTATCTGTCATGCTTAATCATATAATTATCTTGTTTCTTCTCGTTTTACTTTCTTTGCACAAAGTTTATGAAACGCTTTTACAAAAATGTTTACGAAATGACAGTTAAATTGCTGACGTTCTCATTGAAATACAAACTTTCTGTCTTAGCCAATCAGAACGTTCGTTGATTACCAGACGTTACTCGCGCATGCGCATAGCTTACAAAACCACCCAACGTCAACCGTCCATGACAAAGAATTTGGACAACTTTGGATTCGCCTATGTTCTACCGGGTTCCGGGTGTAATTCCTAATCTCCGAGCGGAATTAGTACCCTCGCAGGCGCTCCGCGCCCGCTCGGGGATAAGGTAAACACGTGTTTTACACTATATTTGTATTTTAGATGATGAAATCCAGTGTTATGTTCATGATGTATTGGCTGTTCAAAAGGCTGGGAAAGTTAACTACACCACCTGCAACTTACAAATAGCAGAAGGAAAAACAATGATTAAAGAATGTTCCATTAAAGAATGCTATGCAAAAGAAAAGTCCTATAAAGCTACGAAGATATGAATATAATCAGAAGTTCAACAACATAGTTATTAAGAAGTCAACATCCATAACTGATTCCATTACCCCACTTTCCTTTTCACCCAATGCAACAATCACCACTCCTCTTGTCAACATTGCCACTGTGAAAACAACATCATTGTTGCATTGGGTGAAAAAACAACATTGTTGTATGGGTGAAAAGGAAAGTGGGGTAATGGAATCAGTTATGGATGTTGACTTCTTAATAATGATGTTGTTGAACTTCTGATTATATTCATATATTCGTAGCTTTATCGGACTTTTCTTTTGCATAGCATTCTTCAATGGAGTTGTTTTTTCCGGGGAGAAGCATATGGCTTTCATTGTTTTTCCTTCTGCTATTTGTAAGTTGCAGGTGGTGTAGTTAACTTTCCCAGCCTTTTGAACAGCCAATACATCATGAACATAACACTGGATTTCATATATGGTCATAATGGTGGTCATAATGCATAGTCGGGCGTTTAGTCGCTCCGCATTTGTATTCTTTCTTATACTTCTACGACGCATGTTTCCAACTTATCTAACTACTGGAGGAACTATAAAGATTTCAAGTACTCAAAATAGATCCATATGCCCATTTTCGTCCGAGTTTTGCCCTGGTTTTCAGAGATTTTCCTCTACTATTCAGAAGACATCTACTTTGCTCTCACATACTGTTTGTCAAAGGTCACTGGAGCAGGAAAACAAATAATTTATACAATTGGCCCTTAGTAGCTATCGCTTTAGCTTACACAAATGTACAAAGAACAGAAGGAGATTTTTTAATTCAAGAATCCAATATTATAATAATTCGGACTCGACTTTTAATCTTGAATTAATGTCTATATTACTGAGTGGTGATGTCCATCTGATGCTGGGTCCCATCCTGATGACAAACAAGCAAAATGGAGCTTTTTCCACGATACCTACACGCATGACAAATAGAACACCACAATTACATCCGCACAGCTCAAACTGCATTAATACCCGTAATCTTATTAGCATAAACACCTGTTATCATAGGAATCAAAACATTCATTTTCGAGGCCAATCGCACTCTATAAAACTCTCATCTAAATGTGCGCTCCTTAAAGAACCGAGAACACTTTCACCAAGTAGCTAATCTTGTCTCAAATGGCGACTACGATGTGTTTACAGTGTCCGAGATGTGGTTTAACTCATCAGTTAGAAACACCGAATAAATCTTGCGAGATATAATTTGGTACGTCTAGACCGTAAAAGTAAAAAGAATTAGGAGGAGGGTTTCCAACAACTATGGTTAACAATCCAACATAAAAAGTTAAAATCCTTGGTCATTTGTGTAGCGTACCGACCCCCTGATGTACCGCTAACCACACTTACGGAGGCCTTAGCACCAGCCTATTCTCAAGCAGCTACACTTGGCAAAGGCATCATTATCTTAGGAGACCTCAACTGTGATTTACTTGCACCATCCAAACCGGAATCCCGCGCACTAACCACTTTGTGTTCATTGCTAAATTTGAAGCAGTTAATCTCCGAGCCCACCAGAGTCACGCAAACCTCCCAGTCACTCATTGACGTAATCCTCACCTCCAACGAGGACCTCGTAAAATGCAACAAAGTCCTGTATACCACAATCAGTGACCATTTCTTGGTTTCATGTGAGCTTAGCCTAAAACGTCCTAGATCAGATCCACTGTGTATAACAACTTGCAGCTACAAAACATTTGACTCTGAGGCTTTCTCTAAAGACATTTCATTTGTCCCTTGGAGCACCGTTGGCATTTTAGATCAGGTTGATGATCAAGTGTCAATGTTTAATAGGTTGTTTCTGGAGGTCCTTGATCAGCACGCACCTATAAAGACATTTAAGGCAATACATAAAAAATCAAGGGTGATCAGGCCAGAAATCAAGTCATTGATGTCAAAACGCAACTGTTTGCAGAAGATAGCTTGTGAGACTGGCCAGTCATCTGACTGGCGGGCGTACAGATCAATCCGACAACAAGTTCAAGCAGAAATTAGATCATCAGAAACTAAAATCATACGTGAGGAAATCAACTTTAACCGCTCAAGTAAATCATCTATCTGGAAGACTGTGCGTCGCTGCCTCAACCCTTATGGAAACTCCAACCTACCTTACTCCAAAGACTCAACGGAAGTAGCAAACTCCTTTAACAAATATTTTGTTTCTGTTGGTAAGATAGCTGCTAATCAGGCCTCTGAGCTGGCGAAACAGTATGACTTGACCACCACTACTCCTACGATCTATACTGAACCCTTTACCTCGAACAGCAGGGACCTCTCGCAGTCGTTTAAATTCGAACGAGTCACAGCGAGTACAGTTAAAGAGATAATTACAGCTATGCCTTCAAATACAGCTCCTGGGTATGATAGAATCAATATTGGATTTGTTAAAGCTTGTCTTCCACACATTCTTCATGTCCTCACAGATTTGTTGAATAAGTCTCTAATGTCAAGCCAGTTCCCAAAGGAGTGGAAAATTGCCAAGGTGGTGGCCCATCTGAAGGAAGGTGACCACGAGCAGGCCTGTAATAACAGACCTATTTCACTTCTTCCAGTATTATCAAAGATCCTAGAACGTATCGCCCATAACCAGTTTGTGAGCTTCCTTGTCACCAACAACAAGTTGTCCACTCATCAAAGTGGAAACAAACAGTTACACTCAACAGAGACCTTGGGGCTTCTCTTCACAAACCATCTGTGCTAAGGGCGATTGATAAGAAGAAGGTGACTGCAGTGATGTAGACTTTCTCAAAGTCCGTATTTGATAGTCCGTATTTGATTTGACGCGTATTTGATTTGACGCGGTGAACGGACTTTTCCAGCCTGCTTCGCGCATTTTTTTTCCGACCTGTATTTTGGTCGGAGGTTGGTCGGAGGCTTGTCACAATTTTAACCAATCAAAAGTCACACACTATTATCTGACGTCATCCTATTAGCAACATATTATTATTAGCACTTTTAGCACAGCGAAGTGAGCGAAGTAAAATTATTCAAAATATAAAATATGAATGTCCGAAGAGCTATCGATTTCGGTTTAGAGAAGCTAGGTTTCTTATCTATAAAAAATAACCAACGCAAAGTTGTTGAGGCATATCTAAATAAACTGGATGTCTTGATGGTTAGTCCTACTGGGTCAGGCAAAAGTCTGACATTTCAAATTAGTCCATTTGCCCTTGACTATATAAAACATGGCGAACGAACCCAACAAGACGATATCCAGACAGTTTGCCTTGTGATCGCTCCTTTGGTGTCACTCATGAAGGACCAGGTTGCTATTCTGCGTGAAAAACAAGTCAAAGCAGTCATGATTGGCCCTGAAAGCACAACGGAAGAAAATGAAAAGGCTAAGAAAGGCCAATACAACCTCGTCTTTGCAAGTCCTGAAGCAGTATTCAAAAGCCATCGTAGTACAATACTCGCGTTGAAAGACAATATAGCAGCAGTATTTATAGATGAAGGTCACTGCATTGTAAAGTGGTAAGTTTTTAAATAAGTATTCCGGTTGTCCAATTTTTAAACTAAATTAGATGTGTAAATATAGTACTGATTTGATGTGGACTTGTTAGGTATAAAATTAAAAGATATAGCATACACTGTAAACTTTATAATACTCTAAACAATATCTGGAATGGAGCAATGATCGAATGGCAGGCTTAAATTCTACGGTTTTGTAGTCATTTTAAATATGTAAAGTATCTCACGTTTTTTTACTTCTGTGTGTTATTTAGGGGACATGGAAATAATGTAGAAGAAGCCTTTCGAAAAGATTATTCACGTCTTGCAGAATTGAGATCAATCTTAAAGAGGAATACGCCATTCATTGTATTGACTGCAACAGCTACACAAACTGTCAGGAATTTTATCATAAAGGATTTAGCAATGAAAGACTGTGTCCAGCTTATAACCATACCAAATAAAAATAACATTAGATTCTCTGTGTCTGAGGTCGACTCCAATGATCTTTCAAAATCATTCCAGTGGCCGATAGATGAGCTAAAAACAAAAAAGGTTAATACGCAGAAAGTCCTGATATTTTGTAGAAAGAGATCCCATGTTAAGGATTTGTATGAAGCATTTCTTGAGGCACTTGGACAAGAGTCTTATGTTTTGCCCACAGGGCAAGAATCTATAGATGATCGAACAAGACTTTTCGCCATGTACCACAAAAAGACCAACCACCTAGTTAAAACTGTAGTGGAGAGAGAATTTTGCAAATTCAGTGGGACAGTTTGAGTAGTATTTTGCACGATTGCTTTTGGCATGGGTGTCAATGTTGAAGGAGCTTATCTTGCATTTCATTTGGGACCATCCAGTACTATTGATGATTATATTCAGGAGGTTGGTCGTATTGGTCGAACAAGTGAAAAGATGAGTCATGCTGTACTTTTAAAGTATTCTGGGTGTACACGGAGTAGGAATATATCCAAGGCTATGAAGGAATATCTACGAAATTCTGATAAATGTAGGCGTTCCTTGTTGATGGCACCATTCTTAACAAATGGAAACATGGAGTTGATACAGAACGAAGATCAGCAACAATTTATTCATTCTCACGCATGTTGTGACGTGTGTGCTAAAAGCTGCACATGTCAATGTTCGTGCAATCAAGATGTGTGTTCATGTGATGCTACCTGCAACAGTCAATCATATTACTCACCTATGGAAATACTGGCCACAGACCGTAATTCAACTGGGAAGGTGTGTATCAACAGTAGAAGTAGTTATGGCAATGGGGGCCCACTTTGTAAAGTAGTTAGGAAATGTGTGAGAGATGAGCTTTTTCAATATCGAGCAAAACTGGCTCATTACATACCTGATGAACATTTGCTAACAGGCATTGATATTGCCACTGGGTTTTCAGTCACCCTGATAGAAAATATTGTTGACAATATTTGGACAATTGATTGTATTGAGACTCTAAAAAACTTGTTTAGTTTTTTCAGTGTGAGGAGCATGCATTACAATCATGGCTAATTATAAGTGGGTAGAGTGGGTAGTAAAATATCCCGGGTCCTAAAAACGTTTGTGGGTCAATGTTCGGCAATGCGTCAACTGTGAGGGTTTCAATCGTGACTAGGGTGATCAATTTAAGCTAGTCAAGGTTTTTAATTAAGGTTTGTATGTATTTATAAGTTTTATAATGCATATAATTGTAAGTGTAAGGTTGTAGGTATATAGATATTATTGGTTACTGTATATATACAACATATGGATTGTACATTATATTACATAAGGATTGTTGGATGTGACCATGTTTCCCGTGACCATGTTCATGTGGTTTGATTTGAAGTGTATTTAATCCGTGTGGTTGAACATTTAGGTTTTGTTCGGGCATCTGGTCGCATTTATGGCTTAATTCTGCTAAGGACAAACCTCATTGTTTCCATAGCAACGGCCTTCGTAGTTAATCTGTCAACAGTTTCTCATTTCTAACGCAATCTACAATATAATCAAAAGTATTATTGATCTTTAGTCTGCAATATTGGCGCTTAATTCGCCACAACAAACCTACTATCTAGAATTTTTACAAAACTCTAGGGAGCCACCTTAAGGTCATGTAGTATTTTTGTTTTCACAGCAGAGTGCCACAGGGTTTGCTTGTCATGTGTTGGTTCTTGCATGTTCTCACTTGTAACCCAGTGTGTCCCAGTAAGTTCTTTGGTTTCTTATATCCACTCTGGTGTTTTCAAGGTGGTATTCAGACACAATGTCAATTGGGAGTGGTTAAAATTTTTTTGTATCTCTGTGTTCAGGGTGGTGTGAAGGTTTTTGGCTGGTTTTGGTTAGGTTTGGGGTGATGGAAGGCTTGGGGGATTTGGGTTATGGGATGTTATTATGTTTGGTTAGTGTTGTGTCTGGTATTAAGTTTTGCTGTGATAGGAGGTGTCCAAGTCTGTTATGTCTCCGTTGTCAGTCCGTAAAAATTCATCTATCTGTTCGTCAGACATGTCAGGTGAGGGTGGGGGGTTGGGTTGGATTGGGCATGGGTTAGTGTCAACAGTTTCTCATTTCTAACGCAATCTACAATATAATCAAAAGTATTATTGATCTTTAGTCTGCAATATTGGCGCTTAATTCGCCACAACAAACCTACTATCTAGAATTTTTACAAAACTCTAGGGAGCCACCTTAAGGTCATGTAGTATTTTTGTTTTCACAGCAGAGTGCCACAGGGTTTGCTTGTCATGTGTTGGTTCTTGCATGTTCTCACTTGTAACCCAGTGTGTCCCAGTAAGTTCTTTGGTTTCTTATATCCACTCTGGTGTTTTCAAGGTGGTATTCAGACACAATGTCAGTTGGGAGTGGTTAAAATTTTTTTGTATCTCTGTGTTCAGGGTGGTGTGGAGGTTTTTGGCTGGTTTTGGTTAGGTTTGGGGTGATGGAAGGCTTGGGGGATTTGGGTTATGGGATGTTATTATGTTTGGTTAGTGTTGTGTCTGGTATTAAGTTTTGCTGTGATAAGTGTGTCTCTCAGGTTAGTATTACGTTGGTAGGCTACGATTGGAGGTTCTTGCCATAGACTCCTCAGTGTGGGGTCATTCTCCAATATGTTCCAGTGTTTACGTAGGATGTTTGCAATGTATTTTGTGTTTGTGTTGTTATGGAGAGAAAATTAGGCGGCTTGTGTTTTTTTGGTTTTGTTTCCTATTGAGTAGGTCTGTTTGAGTGTATTGTAGGGCTTTGTTGAAGTTAGTGGTGATGGTGTCATGGTCATATCCGCGATGGATCAGTGCAATAAGGAGGTGGTTTAGTCGTTGTTGTAATTTGTTGCTGTCTGTAATAATGCGTCTGTATCGTAGTGCCTGACTGTAGATGACTGCATTCTTGCATGTGGTGGGGTGAAATGAGCTTGTCTGTTGGTTTAATGCACAGGTCTGATTCCGGTTTGTTGTTTCTGTTTTTGTAGATAGTTGTGTCAAGGAAGTTGACACATTCCTCAGAAAAGAAGAAGTCAAATTTGATGGTAGGATGGAAATTGTTGATGTATTTAAGGAATTTTTCCAGTTTGTCAGTGCTATGTGTCCAGATTGCAAATATGTCATCTATAAATCTTATCCATTCAATAGGTATAAGATTTTCAGGAGCTTGTTGGAGGAGCTCCTGTTCAAGTGCTGCCATGAATATGTTTGCATAGCAGTGCCATTAATTTGTAGAAAGTGTTCGTTGTTAAAAGCAAAGGTGTTCTTCTTAAGTACAAGGGATAGGATGTCATGAACTAGTTTCTCAATTTCAGGGGTAATTGTGTTGATTTCTTTCAACATGTCTATACAGGCTTGGATGCCTTGATCATTAGGTATGTTGGTATAGAGACTTCTTACGTCAATAGTAATAAGTGTGAACTTGTCTGGTAGTGTGTTATTCTGAGAAAATATCCGGCATAGAGAGTCTGTAGTGTCCTGGACATATGATGGTATGTGTTGTAGGAGTGGTTTGAGTAGATGGTCAGCATATTGAGAAAGCTTGACTGTTGGTCCACCACAACCGGATATAATAGGTCGACCTGGAATGTTAGTTTTGTGTATTTTGGGTAAAAGGTATAGTTGTGGTGTCCTGGCTTGATTGTCAGTTGTGAGATATTTAAATGTTGTGTTGTCAATGGCCTTAGATTTGTAGGGTTTGTGTGCTAGGGTTTTGCTTTCAGTTAAAATTTCAGGGGTCGGGTCATGTGTTAGTTTCTGGTAGTGTTTCTCATTATAAAGTTGTCTATATGCCTCAGTGAGATAATCTTCCATTGGCCATATCACAATGGCTCCTCCTTTGTCTGCTGGTTTGATTATTATATTATCATCCTTTTTCAGATCATGGATGGTTTTGAGGCTTTGTGAGGATATGTTGGTTTTTGTAGTTTGTTTTTGTGTTCCAAATTCAGTTTTGAGATCGTAGAGTACATTTGATATGTATCCTAACAGGTTGCTGTTGTTGGGGTTTGGTGCTGTGAAGTTACTGGGTAGTTTAAATGGATGTTTTTTAGTTTCCTTTTTGTTTCTGAAGAAATATTTACTGTACATGCTTTTTTTATATTTCAGAAAAGAGTCATAAATGGTCTTGTATGGTGTGTATTTGGGTGTCGGGACAAAAGGTAAGACCTTTCGACAGGTTTTTTTGTGCTTCATGTGAGATGGGTTTGTTAGAGAGGTTGACAATAGTATTGTGTTGGGAGTTATATTTGAGTTTTTTATGTAGTTTATTTTTACTTTTGTGTCTGTTGTTGTGTTCCGTTGTGTTTTCAAATATTTTAGGATGTTTCGTTTGTTGTAATTGTTTGTATCTGTGTTGAGTTTTTGTTTTTTTGTTATTTGTGGTGTGTGTGTTTGTTGGGTCTTAGAAAATCCAGGATTTGTTGTTGCGTGTTGTAGTTCAAGTGAGATGGAATGTTTATGTGAGGTGTTGATTGTTGCTCATTGTTGTTTGTTGATGGGTTCGGTGTCTGTTGTTATTAGGTTGTTGATAGTGGGTTGGTATTCGAAGTTGTGGTGTTTTTGTTACTGTTGTTGTGCTAGTTGTTCCAGGTTTGTGTGGGGTGTGGGTTTGCATGAGGGGTTTTGGTTTGTGTCTGTTGGTCGGTGTGTGTGTGGGTTTGTTGATTGGTTGGCTGGTTGTTCTGTATGGTGTCCTATGGGGTGAGGAGGTTGTTGGAGTGATTCTGGTATTTTGTGTTGTTAAGTCGTTTAGTTTTATGTTGCGATTGTGGGATGGTGCTAGGCAGGCTTGTTTTGTGTATTTGGTTGCAATGGCGTCTGTTGTTGTAGTATGTTGTTGGCAGTCGTTGTGTCACATTTGTTGTTGATTTGTGCAGATTTTGTTGTATTTTAAACTCTGTGTTTGTTATTTCCTGTTTGTGATAGTCAATGGTTACAGTCAGTAGTTCTTGTGAGGCATTCATTAAGATGCCCTCCCATCTTTGCCGTAGGTCTTTGTTAAGGTAGTGTTTGCTTTTGTGTGTGATTTCTAGTCCAGGGGGTAGTGTCTGTGCTTTTTTGTGTTCTTCCAGTTCGTCAAGTGTGCATTTGAGTTTCGATAATTTGATTTTCTGTGTGCTAATAATGCGGAATGTTTCCGGGAGGTGTGGTGGTATGCTGTTGGGGTTGGGAATGGATTGTGGTTGGTCATTGTGTGGTGTGGTGTTGGTTGTGATTTAGGGGTTAGTTGTGATTTGGAGTGTGTTGTTTGTCTCTGGGGTTTCGTCTTCTGTGTTTAAAAGTTTTTGTTTTTCTTTATGTAGGCCTTCTATT